GGACAGGTCATTTAAATCATTCCTTTACATCCCACAGCAAAATACATATCCAGAACCACTGGCGTATAATGCAAATTTAGCCCAATATTGTAAAGACTTTTATTGAAAACTGCATACAGCTGTTTCAGCTTTTGGTCATCATTAGTGCAGTGTATGGAAACTATGGCTTCTATGGAGTAGGTATTGGGAACCAACAAAACAATATAACCGTACAGGTTATGGTGAGCAGTGACTACATTAATTAATAAACCCTCCAACTCAATCATTGCTTAGCACAGTTAGGGCTCATGTACACTGCAGCTGATAAACTCACGTTTAGGAGCTGTTCAGCGTTTTTTTCAGCAGTCCCTGAACTCTCCCTAATTTTTCCTATGTGTCCATGTACACATCTTCGTTTACAGTCATTCACAGGCATTTGAGTTTACAGTTGTTTTTTTGATAGCAGAAAACTTGTGATAAGCAGTTGATTTTATCAGCGTTTCAAATGCAAAACACTTGTAAACGCGGCAAATCGCATTTATAAGCATTTGTGGCTGAATTTTTTTTTTAACTCTTCCAGTTCCCGATGCTGTCCAGAGCCTTTTTTCATCATGAAAAATGCATGCAAAGCATTTTCAAGGTACTCAAATGGACAAAACACTGAACACAGGATGTTCCTACTAAGCCTGTCACACATTGTAATGACCAATTCACACCTCAGACCTCTCCCACTCTTGGAAACAAAAGATATGTTAATGACCTCAAATTCCTCATTAAGACCCCCTGAAAGGTGACCTTACTGACTCCCTCCACCAGACACCTTTCCCACCCTTGGAAACAAAAGAAATGTTAATGAGCAACTCACACCTAATTATCTCAACATGTACTGCTGTCTCTGCTTCTACTCTCTGTATTTCTCTGAAACAGTCTGAAATAGTTACTAATTTACCACTTTTCAGTGAATTCTGGGCATTTGGGAGGTTCTACTTATCTTTAAAAAAACGCTTCTAAACGCAAACGCACATAAACGCGTTATGCAAACACGGCTAAACAGACGTTTTTTAACATATGTTAACATATGTTTTCCAGCAGTCAGTTTCCATCATATAGAAGTGTCCCGTGTACGTGGGGCCTTAGGCCTTCTTAGAGGAGAAGATATTCATATGTCTTTCCCCCTGCTGCACCCGAGAAGTAGGAGGGTTTTTTTTTTCCTGGCTTTGTTTTTCAGCAGAACTGGGATACAAGTATGAAAGCAGCAGGATCAAACCTCACAATTACATTGAGCTTCACTGCACTATTACAAGACGGCACACAGAGCAGATGCTGTACAATCCCATCACTCACCGGTTTTGAACGTGTTGTAGAAACCGGCATCCGAAATCTCATTATTTTCTGGGCAGCAGGAAAAGCCCCGCTCTCTCCACCTAATGCAAGAGAAACATAAAGTCAACCTCAAAAAAAGTCACGTGTCAAAAAAACGAGGCAAGCAAAGCATGTGCAAGGGCATAACTAAGAATCATGGGGCACCAAAGAAAAATACTGATGGGGCCCCACTTTCCCTGTAGCAGCTGGCAGCGTCAACTGTGACAATACCTGCTTCTTTTTGCTGCATTCATTTTACCATAAAGTATGCCGAAATCAGGGAGAGACAGCAGGGGAAAGGTCAGTATAGTCAGTATACTACTAGGGAGCAGTGCTGGGGATAAAAGTTCTGGTTGTAGTAAAAATAATGATAACCACAATGACATTTTATATGTAGCACCCACCTAGTTAGCTAAGGGGAGCTAGCTAATCATTTTTTAGTTGGAAAGGCTGAGTAGCAGCCTAAGCAATAGTCAACTGGGTCAAATTTGGATCAGGGCTGAGAGGGTCCGCAGATCAGTTCCTTGAAACCTTCCCCTGCTCTAGAATCTTGGAGAAGATTCTAGAAGCAGTGGGAGGGGATGGGCTAGTCTGCACTCTTAAGGGATCCTGACCAATCCCCAAGCAGTAAGTTTGGCATGGGGTCAGGACAGCCCTTAAAAGTGACCGAGCCTGCTCAGTAGCAGGAGAGTATGGGTGGATGATGTGACGAAGATGAGATGCAGGAGCCTGGGAAAGGGCCCAGTGGGAAGAGGCTTACCTACAGGCAGGGCACTGGAAAAAAGGATCACTGGCTTCATCGGCTCCCAGAGTGAGGACCATTTGTGGAGCCAGGAAAGGAGCCAGCCCAGCAAAAGGCCTGAAGGCAGCCACCTACCTAAATCTGCTTGGAGGACTGAGACTGAGTGAGTAGTTCTACACCCCCTAGGCCAGTTAAGGGAAAAAGAGCACTCTGGTGGGAAACCTGCTTAGCTCCTTATCCAGGCAGGGCCGTGGATAAGAGGGTACTACCAGTCCTCCTGTACAGGGCCCAAGCCAGAAGGGGGGCCTAGGCAAATTAATAAATTGGATGTGGGCAGGGAGACCGATCAGCACAGCTGGTGGGCAATTACTGGAACCGATCTCCTGTATGGCTCTCACTGCAGCAGCTGAAAACTGGCTTCTTCTTCTTTCCCTCTCACTGGCTTTCAGCTGCTGCAGAGAGAATCATTCAGGGGATCGGTCCCAGTAATCCCCCTCCACTCCCCACCCCACCCATCACCCTCCCTGTGCATCATACATTTCCCCCTGCTGCCCCGACCCCCCTTTGTGCACCCTCCCCTGCAGCTGCAAGCACACAATAGGATCCTGCAGGATGGAGAGTGGGGGAAGGGTTTGGTAAATATATCACATTTACTGTACCAGCCCCTTTCTTTCCCGAATGAACACAATGAGTGATCGATACTAATCACCCACTGTGTTTTTTTTTTTTTTTTTTGCTTTTTTTTTTTTGCTTTCAGGTCTATCAGGTTGGCTGTATTGGGCCCCGTGGTTTCTAACAGCAGCCCTGTATCAGGGACTGTATTATTTAAAGTGGCAGGCACTGAATTCCCTTGCCCAGGGATTCCCTCAGGCAGCTGGATAAGAAGCGGTTTATCTGGGGTCTGGGGAGGTACACCAGGAGAGGCTGGAGAGCTCTCCAAGAAGAGTTTCTGCTGTGTAAAGACTTGTGCATACTTGCTAAGGAGTTTGTCCTTGGTTTGCAGTTCCATTGGACATCCTGTAGACCCCTTACCTCATCCAAGTTCAACACCCCTTAATAATAGAAAAAAAAAACAAGTTGAGGACTGTTTATTGACTCTGAGTGCAAGTCTGTGGAAAATGCGTGTTGCCTGGCTGTGAAGGACAATAGGGGGACTCAAATCTTCAGCAACTCCTATGGGGGTAGTGCTACATATACTATGACAAATCTATTAATGCTCTTCCACACAATTACTCTCTAACCCTGATACAATCTTCTTCAGGGCCCATTCACACCAGCAGCCATGAAAATGCACTGCTGCTGATGCACGCGGAAGGGAGGACACAGTGCCAAAGCACCTATCCAGGCGTGTCGCACTGTCTACTTTTCATCGACATTTCATTAGGTTCTATTCACACAGAGGTAATGGGATGTGGTGGTTTCTGATGCAATCTGCTGTGCTGAAAACAGTACTGCAAGCTGGTTTAATTTTTATTAGACTTTTCATTTGTTGTATTATTTTTAGCTGGTGGTTCTGCTGTAAATATTTGCCTTCTACAAGTAAAGGCTATAATACAATATTTCTGGGTGTAGCTCCCCCATCAGTCCCCCTAATACTTACCTGAGCTCCATCTCAATCCAGTGATGTGCATGAGAACCATGGCTCTCCTGGGTCTCTCTCTCTTCGTTGGCTCACACAGCAACGAGAGCCATTGGCTTCTGCTGCTGTCAATGACAGCCAGTGATCCAATAAGGAGGGAGCAGGGCCAAGTCGCGAGGATTGGGGCTGCTCTGTGCAAAACCATTACACTGAGCAGGTAAGCATATTACAACTTTTAGAATCACAAAAGTTAATAACACCCCAAATGCAGGGTGCAAACACAGTGGAACAAAACTACAAAAGTATCATGCAACGCGGTTGCAGTGAGTTTGTAAAAGTAGTGCATGCACTACTTTGGGTGCGGTGCAATTTCAGCCCATTCAAAATGAATGAACAGAAATCACACTGCACAAAACTGCATATAAATCGCACAGGAACACGCAGCATGTTCCTTTGCAGTTCCTGGTGTGAACCGACCCATTCTCACAGGCATATGCATATTTTTTTTGCATCGGAGCAGGTCAGGGGCATCCCTAGGCAGGTGCGACCCCTACCTGGGTGACACCTACTGCACGGGTGACACCGGACCCACTCCACAAAAAAGTAAGTTGTAAAGCAAGGATGGATCGGATCTGCGGATTGAGTATAATGGATCGGACTCTGATCCATTATGCTCCCCAATCCACAGATCCGATCCATCCTGTGGGGATCGTCGACTTGCTTTACAACTTACCTTTTCGTGGAGCGGATCCGGTGTCACCCCCTATAGGTTGCATGCCGATGGTCCCCGCAGGATGAATCGGATCTGCTGATTGGGGCGCATAATGGATCGGACTCCGCAGATCCGATCCATCCTGCGAGGATCGTCGGAGGGGGTGTCACCAAGTGTTACCGCACCTGGTGACACTAAAACAAGGGATGCCCCTGAAGCAGGTGCTGGCATTTAGATACATACAGCAGTTAGATGTGTACAATTCTTCTTTCATTCAAATGAATGGCTACACATTTACATGTGTATCCGTTTATATGCAAATCATCTGCAGATCTGTGTGGCCCCGAACACAGAGGGGTCCTTTTTATCTGCCCAGCTATACACAGTGTATATTTTGCAGGTAATCACAGCTGTGAGTATGGACTCTTTGATTACTATAGTGATGCATTTAGATGCGCCCAAAAATGTGCGGTACGCATCTAATTGTGGCATTTTTTTTGCCTGTGCAAATGAGCCCTAATTGGCCTAACTATTCCAAAGTTCACTTTGGTTGGTTGCTTTGATTTCCCGGATGAAGAGTTTTCAAAGACGGCAGACAGTTCCTGACCTAGCAGAGGAGGCAGAACTCACCAGTGCAGAACAAAAATCAGAGCAATCAGGAAGGCCGAAATGATATCTGTGAGAATCCACATTAGATTGTACTGAGCCGGAGTCTGAAAGACGATAGAGAGAGATCGGGTGACTTACCAAGAAAAAGACCCACACAGCATATCAGTGACACCATCACTACTAAACCACAGGAGAGGACAGATACAAATATTCTCCTGTGTGCAACACAATGCCGTAAAGCAGATTTATAATATGATACTATATATATATATATATATATATATATATATATATATATATATAAATACACACTGCTCAAAAAAATTAAAGAGGCACTTTTTTATTCAAAGTCTAGCATCAAGTGAAACTCCTGGGATATTCATCTGGTCAGTTAAGTAGCAGAGGGGGTTGTTAATCAGTTTCAGCTGCTTTGGGGTTAACGAAATTAACAACAAGTGCACTAGATGGGCAACAATGGAATGGTTTTGCAGGTGGAGGCCACTGACATTTTTTTCTATACTCATCTTTTCTGACTGTTTTTCACTAGGTTTGCATTTGGCTAGGGTCAGTGTCACTACTGGTAGCATGAGGAGATACCTGGACCCTACAGAGGTTGCAGAGGCAGTCCAACTCCTCCAGGATGGCACATCAATACGTGCCATTGCCAGAAGGTTTGCAGTGTCTCCCAGCACAGTCTCAAGAGCATGGAGGAGATTCCAGGAGGCAGGCAGTTACTCTAGGAGAGTTGGACAGGGCCGTAGAAGGTCCTTAACCCATCAGCAGGACCGGTATCTGCTCCTTTGAGCTAGGAGGAACAGGATGAGCACTGACAGAGCCCTACAAAATGACTACCAGCAGGCCACTGGTGTGAATGTCTCTGACCAAACAACCAGAAACAGGCTTCATGAGGGTGGCCTGAGGGCTGGACATCCTCTAGTGGGCCCTGTGCTCACTGCCCGGCACCAGAGAGCTCAGTTGGCATTTACCATTAAACCCCAGAATTGGCAGGTCCACCACTGGCACCCTGTGCTTTTCACAGATGAGAGCAGGTTCACCCTGAGCACATGTGACAGATGTGACAGACGTGAAAGGGTCTGGAGAAGCCGCGGAGAACGTTATGCTGCCTGTAACATCGTTCATCATGACTGTTTTGGTGGTGGGTCAGTGATGGTCTGGTCAGGCATATCCATGGAGGGATGCACAGACCTCTACAGGCTAGACAATGGCACCCTGAATGCCATTAGGTATGGGGATGAAATCCTTGGACCCATTGTCAGACCCTACGCTGGTGCAGTGGGTCCTGGGTTCCTCCTGGTGCAGTGGGTCCTGGGTTCCTCCTGGTGCAGAACATTGCCTGGCCTCATGTGGTGAGAGTATGCAGGCAGTTCCTGGAGGAAGAAGGAATTGATACCAATGAATGTCCCCCACGCTCACTTGACCTTAATCCAATAGAACACCTCTGGAATATCATGTTTCGGTCCATCCGACACCGCCAGGTTGCACCTCAGACTGTCCAGGAGCTCAGTGATGCCCTGGTCCAGATCTGGAAGGAAATACCTCAGGACACCATCCATCGTCTCATTAGGAGCATGCCCCGATGTTGTCAGGCATGTATACAAGCACGTGGGGGCCATACAAACTACTGAGGACCATTTTAAATTGCTGCAAAGTAATTTTAGCAAAATGGACTATCCTGCTGCATCATTCTTTCACTTTGATTTTCGGGGTGTCTTTGAATTTAGTCCTCTGTAGGTTGATAATTTTCATTTCCATCAAATGATGGGACATCCTTACATTCCTAACACATTAACCCGTCCATGTCAGTATAGAGATCCAGCAGGAGATTTTTCCCCATTGAGATCTGATGGGTTTTAAAGTTTTCCTTTAATTTTTTTGAGTAGGATATATATATACAGTGGGGATTTTGAGTGCAAACCTCCTTCCATCAGCAAGGTCATTGAAGATGAAACGTGGCTGGGTCTTCCAACATGACAATGATCCCAAACATACCGCCCGGGCAACAAAGGAGTGGCTTCGTAAGAAGCATTTCAAGGTCCTGGAGTGGCCTAGCCAGTCTCCAGATCTCAACCCCATAGAAAACATTGGGAGGGAGTTGAAAGTCCGTGTTGCCCAGCAACAGCCCCAAAACATCACTGCTCTAGAGGAGATCTGCATGGAGGAATGGGCCAACATACCAGCAACAGTGTGTGCCAACCTTGTGAAGACTTACAGGAAACGTTTGACCTCTGTCATTGCCAACAAAGAATATATAACAAAGTATTGAGATGAACTTTTCATATTGACCAAATACTTATTTTCCACCATAATTTGCAAATAAATTTTTTCCAAATCAGCCAATGTGATTGTCTGGATTTTTTTTCTCATTTTGTCTCTCATAGTTGAGGTCTACCTATGATGCCAATTACAGGCCTCTCTCATCTTTTTATGTGGGAGAACTTGCACAATTGGTGGCTGACTAAATACTTTTTTGCCCCACTGTATATATACACACACACATACAGTATGCTCCACTACATTTAAAGTAAACCCATACCTTGTTGAAACAGGGCATAGCAGCAGGTTTACTTTAAACCCCAGCTGCTGGGGCTTATTCTTCTCCCATTAGCCAGAGTCCAGCCCTCCTAAAGTCTCAAGGGGAGTAATCTGGCCCTTGTTTTAGAAGGTTCAGAGACCCCTGATTTAGAAATATTCTATATTATTACCAGCAGGAAACATGGGCTTATCCATCCTCTTGAGCATGCCCACGGTGTTCGTTGTAACTGAATGGGCACCGGCACACCAGGCCAGGGAGTACAGCCACGGCTCGCTGACCACATAAAAGTTGGTGGTTATATTGGCAGCAGCATACATTCTAAAGGGGAGAACACAAGAAGACAGGTCAGCCATGTAGCATGAACAAAGAGAATCCATAATCAATAATTAACTGAAGAATTCTATTAAACCCAACAATTGACTATTAATTACGTTGGTATCACAAACTTCTTGTAAAGACTTAAAGCCTAACTTTTCATTGGGGACACAGACAACAAAACCTGGTTTCTAACCCCTTCTTACTAAGTTAAACAGTTTGACTGGAACTAGGTTATAATTGATCCCTTGATCAGATGCACATAAAAACCTTCTCTTTACTCCCCTCCAGGGGCGGACTGATAACTCATGGGGCCCTGGGTAATAGGGGATCATCGGGCCCCTGTGACCTTGCCCAAACTCAAAAAAGCCTATGAAAATGGTACCAGGGGCATCTCATGGGGCCCCCTACTGACCCTGGGCCCTCGGGCAGTGCCCAAGTTTCCAAATGGTCAGTCCGCCCCTGCTCCCCTCTGCTCCATTTAGCCATTAGGAACACAGAAAGGGAGCCTGTGACTCTCTCCTCGCCCATCTGTGGCAGTACTGAGTGCCAACGTGGGCAATTGTCAAGGACCAGCTCTGTCACATGACAGGAGGAGGAGGACTGAGCCACATGCTCTCTTATAGCCAGAAGAACAGGATACTTCTTTTCACTGCTGGACAGGCTGGACAAAGAGTGGTGGGGAAGTCAACTATGTAAATCTAGGGAGTCATTTAAGCGAACCAGTTGATTCATTTCTGCATGGTCAGGACCTTTTTCTACGAATACTTTTTCCTTAAGTTGTGAAATATTGTGTAAGAATAATTTGCATTCTTTTACTCAGACAGCAGGTGGAGCTGTAAGCTCTTTTTCACAAAATTTCAACTCTCATGTTGGAAAAAAAAGTCTGTTGTGTGCAGACCTCCATAGCTCAAAATGAATTTGTTAGAGCAGTGACTCCTCCCCCCTGCTTTCATACAGATCCCACCCATATTCTCATTAAAAAACTCACACTGCTCTGGCAATCTAGTGTCATACATTAACCCTTTTACTGCCACCATCAGTAGTAAGAGGCTGAAAACCAGCTCATGTCTCCCAGTGTTTTCTTTCAGTGGTATAATAACCTAGTGGTAGCAGCCAGGTAACATGAAAATTGGGGATGCTCTGTCCCTGTGCTGCATTACTGCAGGCAGAGGAGGCATCAGAGGAACAATGGACCATTGAAGTCTCCACAAATAGCACGTCACTGTGTATAGCAATAATGGTGTGACCCTCCTGCGCTCCAAAATGTGTGTTAAACCAAATTGAAATAATAAATGAACCCAAACAGCTGCTAACATTAAATCATATACCAATGATCAAGTGAATATAAACCATAAAAATGCTGCGCTACATTCAAACTAAAAAAGTAAATGTGGAATTCAATAGCTCAAATGAAATAATAGCAAATAATGATAAATATATTATATTAAGAAATGTGCTAAGTGATAACACAAAAATGATGAAAAAAACATGATGAAAAAAAAACACAAACTTAAATCAATACGCATGTGCATAAAAAATGCACATACATATATTAAATCACACGTGCAAAAATGTGAAGTGAAGATACATCTAAATCATACACACAAAAACAAAATCCAATAATGGAGTAAAGTCCAATAATGGAATATAAAAGGTGAAAAAATGTTTTTGTTTTGGTAAACTGTGTTTCCAATATGCTGTAAAGTGACCACAGGTGAAACAAAACGTGCAGGTATCTGGGTGTAGATAACTTGTGAATCCAACCACCTTCTGGATTAGCCTCTCACCTCATCTCTTCGACCCTTGCGGGTCAAAGAGCAGTATGGATCCCTCTCACAGATCCTCCAGGCACCAAAGCACTCCAAAACCACTTCTCAGGATATAATATTCCCACTCAGCTCTTCTCCAAATGTAGATGAAATATCACTTTCCCAGAACAAAACAAAGGGATCCTCCCATAGTGTAGTAAGTTTATTATGCCATAGGAACATCAAATCTTTAATAAAAATGCACTTACGTAGCAGCCAGTCCACATTAAACCCTCATGCTCTCAAATGAGGATATGTGTATGTAAGTTGGGTGTACAGCTGAGTCCACAGGTGTACCAAGATGGCCGCCACGCCGGAAATACGTCACCGCGCTACGCCGACGCGTTACGTCACAATATCACGTGACTTCATCAGGGCCTGATGAGCCCTGATGAAGTCACGTGATATTGTGACGTAACGCGTCGGCGTAGCGCGGTGACGTATTTCCGGCGTGGCGGCCATCTTGGTACACCTGTGGACTCAGCTGTACACCCAACTTACATACACATATCCTCATTTGAGAGCATGAGGGTTTAATGTGGACTGGCTGCTACGTAAGTGCATTTTTATTAAAGATTTGATGTTCCTATGGCATAATAAACTTACTACACTATGGGAGGATCCCTTTGTTTTGTTCTGGGAAAGTGATATTTCATCTACATTTGGAGAAGAGCTGAGTGGGAATATTATATCCTGAGAAGTGGTTTTGGAGTGCTTTGGTGCCTGGAGGATCTGTGAGAGGGATCCATACTGCTCTTTGACCCGCAAGGGTCGAAGAGATGAGGTGAGAGGCTAATCCAGAAGGTGGTTGGATTCACAAGTTATCTACACCCAGATACCTGCACGTTTTGTTTCACCTGTGGTCACTTTACAGCATATTGGAAACACAGTTTTTTTTTTGTGTGTAACAAAAACATTTTTTCACCTTTTATATTCCATTATTGGACTTTACTCCATTATTGGATTTTGTTTTTGTGTGTATGATTTAGATGTATCTTCACTTCACATTTTTGCACGTGTGATTTAATATATGTATGTGCATTTTTTATGCACATGCGTATTGATTTAAGTTTGTGTTTTTTTTCATCATGTTTTTTTCATCATTTTTGTGTTATCACTTAGCACATTTCTTAATATAATATATTTATCATTATTTGCTATTATTTCATTTGAGCTATTGAATTCCACATTTACTTTAATTAGTTTGAATGTAGCGCAGCATTTTTATGGTTTAACGTCACTGTGTATAATACTGTCATATAGAGAGTTTTTAAGTCCCCTTACAATAGTAAACACAGTTAAATTAAGAAATGAATTTAAAATAATAATTAAATAGTTGCATAGTTAGTCTGGCTGAAAAAAGACAAAAGTCCATCCAGTTCAACCATAACCATAAATAAATAAAAAAAGAAGTAAGTAAAATAAAATAAATAATAAAAGACCCACACAAACAATACATAAATATAAAGACCTCTCCCATACACACAGATGGGATGCACAGACACACGTAAACAGCTACCGCTTCACAGATCAGGTATTTTTTCCTACACGTACAAGATGTAGAACAATTATTTTAGAACCAACATAATGGTTTAACTAAAAACAAATGATCTGTAAAGTTTTTAATGTGTCGCCTACGTACAATTTTGAGTCTTGTAGGTTTTAGGCATTGTATTTTTTTTTTTTTAGAAGTGTCACATGTGCTCATGATTTTGAAGCAAGCTATATTGTATATTTTGTATTTAACTTGATGCAGTGTTTTATATTTGAGGGAAAATTTTGTAACATTAGATTGTGTTTGTGTGTGTTAAATGTACTACTAAAACGAAATTTAGAAGTACACTTTTAAAGAAAAAAGAATTTGCTCAGAACATGCATAAAAAAAATATATAACATATACAAAACAGGGATGTGCTTTACAAATGTGCAGTACACATCAATGGCTTTGGGAGTCAAAAGCCAGCAAGGAGTAATAAAACGTAAAATTATAATAAGAAAAAAAGGGAAAAAAAAACAGCACGACTGTCAAATTCTCTCTACTACATTTACTGAAATACTGTATTATTAATATTAAATATTTCTACTTAAAATCAGTTTAAAAAAACATTAAAACTCTTTTAACATGTCCTCTGTTAATTGCAGTAAGCGACCAAAATAAAAGATATCATTTCTACATATAGCTTTCAAATGTCCATCATTTGGAACCATATTCCTCTTTCTCTCCTCCCTTCTCAGGGGTACCTCTTTTTTGGTCTGATGTATGGACCTCTATTAGAAAATGAATAAGGCCCATTCACATCATTGTGGTAATTCTTCAAGGTCAGTGTAAAGGGTAGTGTGACAAAAAGCCTAGTTGTAAGACTACCATGCATATAATAACCACTATCTGAGTCCTCAACAAGCTCTAATGTATACTTGTTGTAATTGGGTGTCGTAAACCTCCATTAAAGCTGGCCATTTCCCCATCTATACATTTGGGGAATGCTCCCTGCTGTGTCAATGTATTGATAGTGGGACTCCCCCGAAGCAGAGTACATTGATCAGCACTGCAGCCAATTATCTGCATGCGCTGATTAAAACAAAATTTCCCAACAAGTCAGTTCATGATAAATCAACCAATAGATTGACTTCATTTGAACTGACAAGACCATAGATGGATCGAAATTTGTCCGGTTCCTGAACCGGCTACATTTCTGTTTCAATATTTTTATCAAGAAAGTTTTGTTTTAAGAATACAACAAGTTCAAGATATGCCCACACAGGGGCAGAGCAGAACAAAAACACATAAACAGATACATCCTGCTGACTTGTATTAGCCAAATAACGAAATGTCCAATGACATCAAGGAGGGACGGCAAAAAGCCGAACCAAATAATAGCAGCAGTAATCCAACATATTACCAGAGAAAGAAGAGGAAAGAAAAAAGGTTAGCAAAAAAAAGGAATCAGAAAGAAAACATGGACGAAAGGGAAACTAGAAGAATCATGGATCCAGGGCTAGCACAGGCAGCGACTATAAGAGGCCATAATTAGTAGGAGGCAGGGATGGCAAGGAAGAACGTATCCAAGGTTCCCAAACCTTAAGGATGCTCGGATGAGAATCAAGAAGAATGCTAGACATCTGTGAATGGCTACATTTCTATCCATGTATGGCCAGCTAAAGCCAGAGGCTGCTACAAGGTGTGATAAAATA